GAGTGTCACAGCAAAGGGTCTGAATACTTATGACCATGTGATATTTCAGTTTTTCTTTTTTAATAAATCTGCAAAAATGTCAAAAATTCTGTGTTTTTCTGTCAATATGGGGTGCTGTGTGTACATTAATGAGGAAAAAAATGAACTTAAATGATTTTAGCATATGGCTGCAATATAACAAAGAGTGAAAAATTTAAGGGGGTCTGAATACTTTCCTTACCCACTGTATACACATTTGGTGTGTTGAGATGAGGATACTCTATCTGCAGTGCTTTTGTTAGATAACCTGTCTTGGCTGTCTTAATAGTATGACGTGACTCACTTCAAACAACAATGTGGGGAACAATAGAGCCCCTGAAAGACAGAACTAACTGTAAAGTAATGATTGAACTGAGTGAAGGGCCTGAACAATCGATAGCAAAAACATCTGACTAACTCCAGTATCCCAGGGCAAAATTACCCTCTCAGCTTGAAGCTGGTTTCTACTTTGTCCTTGTAAGTTGCTAGAGGTAATGTTGCTTTGTATTAGGGCTGTAACTTAGTTATTTTAAATCCAAATTAACATTAAGTATTTGTATAATGTAATTACAGAAATTACTGTAATTGACAGTTTTTTCAAACTTACCCTCACTATTATACATCTACAACCTCCTTGCTGTTTGTCACAGCTTAACTAGATCTTCCAGCTAATTGGATTCTACAGAAATGTAGTTACAGTGATTAGCCAGTGGGTGAATTTTCCCAGTAAGTCTTGTTATTTTCAAGCATGCACAGATACAGTACTACATGTACACCCACATGTTCATGCACTCCAGCAGACCTATTTGTAGAGAGCATGTTGAAATGAGGCCCCTTAACTAATTTGTATGTGTTTACATGAGAGTGAGCTCATGCTGTGTGAGCACTTTGCTTCATATGGAGACTAAAGATGTTGAGGTACTGCATAGTCATGCCACTGATGCATTTATAATCCTGCTGATTACAGAGTACAAAGTCTTTCTGAGAACTGATCACAAGGCAATGGGCAGGACACACCAGTCACTTCCCAGGTGGCCTTTGCGTTTTGTAAATGTGGGCATATCTATATATAAGAGAGACACATAGACAAAGTCAGGGCGAAGAGTATAGACACAAACTGGGAGCAGATTATACAGCATGCAATAAGCACATTCATTACCTCTGCCAAAGACAGGGGTACTGTTTTCGCTAGTGTTTGTTGCTTTGTTTGTTAACTGCATAACTCATGGTCCAGATCACCATCCAGATCCAGGAATTTAAAAAAAAAGATTCTTCACCATTGTGAGTGTTGGAAAGGCTGTCAACTGCATGTGAGCCCTCTTTGGGCTGAAAGTCACGGCTGTGCTGCTGACACTTTGAGCTCATATGGAGATAAATCCCTGGGCCAGCAACAGCTGCCCATTTACTGTCAATAGAAACAGTGCTACTGCTCATTACACCTCGATGTGCAAGACAGCGAATGAAGGAACGCTGACATCCCTGAGCTGGGTAAAGCTCTACTATATGCAGTGACTGCCGGTGCAGGAACGAATCTGGATTATCTTGATCCCAGTCCAGATGGTAATGGCAGATACTGATATCAGCGTCATTCCAAATGTCAGTGGTAGGTTTTCATGGACAAGCTATCATATTGTGAAGGTCAAACTATCCTATTGATGTTACATGTAATGGACATTGTTGGGAAACTGAGTTGCCTTGGTGGAGGTTTGCACTCTCTGAGTGCTGTCTAGTTTTGCATGAGCTGCTGTGCATGTTGCTCCTTAGTTGAATGAACATGAACTCTCACTCTTCTGCTGTCGACCTGTTAACGTCAGCTGTAACATCCATGCACTTTCTTGTTGGTGTTCAGGATGTTACATTGCTGTATGTCATCAGTGCTCAGAGGCAGTGTTTAGGAAGGCTAAAGCTGCTGTTGTAAATCTCATGATGCTTCCTAATACTCTTGAGCCCCACAGGTATGATCTTCAAACAGGCACGAGACGCCTCTGTCTCCACTGACAGAGCAGAGACTGAGACTAATCGCAGCGGGCGCCACACACCTCAGAAAGGTAGCAATTTTCCATCATTACCGTTAAATCCTGCTTGAAAGAACCGGATTCCACAGACTTAATTACAAGGTGTTAATAATAACAATGCAATAGCAGTCATTTTAACTCCCACCCAAAACCTTAATCCATCTCCCAAATGACTCTCACATTTAAGGGTGTTCTTACTGTACTGTGGTGTCTGAAATGTAAAAGCACCATGATGCTTATTGATTACCCTTGTGATTATTCTCACAGTTGTTGTGTTAGGTCTTGCGAGTTGGGGCTCGAGTTAGGAGCTCTGTCAGCTCCTTAGATGTCACTCATGTCTTTCATCCCTCCACTGCTGACGCTCTGAGATATAGCCATGCCAATCCATCAGTCTAATTGCAGGATGGGAGAGACTTTAGTAGGCATGGGATTGATTTACATATATTAGTAGGGTTTTTTCTTCCACACAGTACCTCAGTATCATCCAGAATTCCTGTGCATTAATTCAGGATATCAGGAGTATTTTCTTCTGCATGCAATGTCAAACAAAGGCTTGCGGTGTAAATAAAATAATACGGTTTATTGCTGTCTGTAATTATGATAATACCTTTAATACCATTTAAACAAAGCAGTCTTCTCCCTCGTAATTTCTGGTGAATGAGGCTGATGAGTGGCTGACTTGCTGTCTAGCTGAGGGGTGTGGCACCACAGTGATCCCCACCACAGTGCTGAGTCCCTCCCCACAGTTTTCCCAGCACCAACTTTGTCAACGTTGTGACAGCTAAGCGCAACTTACTCCAGATTTTCCCTCTGTGTGGCAGTTGTACAGTATTTTTACAGTCCGTGACACAAAGTTATGTGTGTTCTGGCTTGGAATTAAATATTGATCCCAGCCAAATTCAAGCAAATATGTCTTCCCTTGGAGACTGGAGAGATGCATTTTTAACAGACGAGGATGTTAAACCACCACGGCTGAAGAAGCGCATGGAACAGGTGTCCTGCTTGCCTTTCAGCATACATGCACTTATGTCAGACAGGAGGCCGCTGAACAGGATGGATAGAGGAAAAGTACACGACACCCTTAATGGTGATCCAGCGCACAGTACTGATGAGTTTCCCCAACAAAAAATATCTATTAAATCAGAGCCATCGGAACAAGAGGACAGTGCATCTTGGATATCCAGCCCCATTAAGATGCCAACACTACCCCGTAAGTGTTCTGGTTTCCTGAATCATTTATCAAAGTCTGTTTACTGCAAACTAGTGGTTTAATTCTTTGACCCTTAAATCAAGCAATTAATGATCCAATTGAACACGGTAGAGAGAAAATAAATCTCCCTTCAGAACTTTATAACTACATTCATAACTAAATTTAAGGGGAGATGGATGTAATTCTAATAAATATACCCTGTAAATCAGTTTATAGATTTAATACATTTTTTCAAGGGGTGTCTTCCTTTATATATATAAAAGCCAGACAATAAACTATTTAATAAAACAGAAAATTCTAATGTTTATATTTTAAATGTTTAAACATTCATTCATTTTTTAAATCACATTTTAAATTTTTTGTATTTTTAGCACTATACCTGGGATAATGTATTAGAATACACTTTTAATATGATTATATAATATAATACCATATGATTCTTTTGCTAAATAACTTAGTCATTAACTATTTAAAATAACTGCCAATTTCAGTCTCACATTTATGTCATGTCTTTTAGGGCAGCTCAGTCCGGCAGTCTGCTCCTTGAGGAAGCACAAAACCAACCGCAAGCCTCGCACTCCCTTCACCACCACACAGCTTCTGGCTTTGGAGAAAAAGTTTTGTCAGAAGCAATACCTGTCCATTGCAGAGCGGGCTGAATTCTCCTCCTCCCTGTCACTCACCGAGACTCAGGTCAAGATCTGGTTCCAAAACCGACGGGCTAAAGCCAAGAGGCTTCAGGAGACTGAAGTGGAGAAACTCAAAATAGCCGGTGTTGGACACAAAGCTCTACTCCACCCTGGCTTCTTTCCCTTATGCTGTCCCCTTAATATTAACCTGCAGGCTGAATCAGCAGCACTCTGTGGACTGGGCTGCTCATATGGCCACAACCCCGTTAACCCAGCTGCTCATCTAGCCATGTATGCCTCACGGGTCAGCTACAGCTTGTTCCACCGCTCCTGACAGAAAGCAGCATTGTGCGAAAAGGCATGGCAAGCATGTATCATGAAGTCATGCACCTTATGAGAGACATTTCTAAAGAGGATCTGAAGTGGAGCTGAAGCTTCATGGTCTTGTTTTGAGTTACAAGGTGGATTTATAAATGTCCAACTTTCTGAAAGAGAGACTACTGAAAGACATGGACAGCAGCCCAGCAGTCCTTCTGGGCTGTTTGCCCATGCTGACTGCAGAGGTCAATGATAAGTATGGAATACTCATCAGGCCATGTATCTGATTATTGTCCTGGTGCCATATTGCATATATTGACGCCTCTTGATTTATCTTATCGACAATGTTTTGTATTTTCTGGACAATTCTAACTTCAGTAATTTTTCACACATTATTCTTGAATATGCAGAGATATTTTAGATTTTAGATTACTCAACCACAACCGAGAATGGCATTTTGGTCAGGTAAAGTCCTTGCTTGTAGAAAAGCCAAAGTATTCCCAAGTCACACACATTTATTTAAAATAGCCCTTAGATTCGTACAGTTTATGATGCATATCTACATTTTCAGAAGTTAATATTTTGTGTGTTGGACATTAATTTAAAGCTTTCAGTTAACCATCTGCTTTGCCCTCTTTGCTTGTTTGTGGCATGTACCAGAGGTTGATCCCATTAGCTACTTGGTAATCTACAGCCTTGCTCAATTACAAGTGTTTAGTGATACACAACCTTAAATGGGTATTTCAGCACAGAGACTGCTGGTCCATCTGCTTCTGACTTCCAGCTGCCTCGTCTTGTGTACTCTGCATCCAGTATGAAGCTCTCTGTGGTTCTCACCCCATTCTGCTTTTTTTGCCACAAAAGCTCAAAGCATGAATGTTCCCACCATATGTTAGTGAACAAACATCCCTGAGATCTCTTGTCTCTGCAGTCCTCAAGTAGGGGCTTAGGCTTATAATATGGTTCCTCTTCTCACTGCACTGTGTAGCTGCACCAGACTGATTTTTTTGTTAACATTATATGGATTTCAATTAGAAAATCAGCTACTCCCAACACAAACCGTCATTTCCCTTGATCTTGCTGTTTGCAAAAGGTCTTTTTCTCATTTTGCTACTAATAACACTAACAATAGCTCCGTTCTACTCTAAGGGCCCCAGTAGGCGACAACAGTGTGACAGTAATTTCATTATTTACTCTTCTTTTTTCTGTAGTTACATGTTAACATGTTGTCTGTTTTCTTTTTTTTATTTATTAATGAAGGAACATCTGAAGTAAGGAAGCTGTGTGAAGATGAACTGAAACATATTTGTCAGACCGGTGAACTATTTACTTCATGAATCTGCTTTACAGCTTTACAGTACATTGGAGATTGAAAGCCTGATGTAATATTGTATGGCCATCTGCATCTCTCTCATGTATGCAGGGGAACTGGTTACAGTAGAATCCACTGTAGGTATTGTGTGGGTCGATGTTCACCTGGGAGGCCAGAGTGAAGAGGTGTTGCCCTATTTAAAGAATATTTATCGAGCCTAATTTCCTCTAAATAGGCGAATTTATGTTGATAAAATGAGTGTTTTCTGTAAATAGCGCATTTCACAATGTGTTGTCATGTTGCCTCTTGATATCAGAGGCTGAGATTTCTTTGTTTGATTTGAACCATATTTTAAACTGTATAATAGCAGGCTGTCCCTCTGCAGTCAGTGGTTTAATTGTCCTTGTCCCTAAATGCTCACTCTAGAACACTGTGAAATTATACCGTATGTGTAGCTGCAGTGATAGCAGAACAGAGCATTATAAGGTCGTGCTTTCTCTTTGTGTCTCCCTCTGGCTTTCTGTAAACCTGGAGGAAGCTTATCATCATTATCACATATTTCACAGCCCATTTGCTCCTCTGCATTTTGAAGTGAAACCTTGCATTAGGCTGATAGTGAGGACTTTAATAGCTTTGATTGCTCAGTAACCACAGCCTCCACTTTCAGATGTTTTGAGAGTGAAACCGTAGTGAAGAAAATGACACACACAAAACCAAAAGTAGATGAGATGATCTCTAATTTAAAAAAAAAGTTATGAAATACATAAATATAAAAACACAAACAGGAATCAAAATCACACTAAGCTTTTATAGTAAGTGTGATGTGAGAAGTTATTCACATACTGACCAAGCCTAATACAACTTTATCTGCTGATAATACAAGCTGCTATCAGTCTGAATTAGACACACAAAAAAAAAATAATTAAAAAGTGCACATCTTCCAAAGCTACAGTCCTTTTAGTACTAAATCCCCTCTTTGTGTTTGGCTGGACAGTGGTTTTTTTTTTTGCTCCATTAACTTAAAGAGGACATCTTGTACTAAATTGCATTGAACAAGGAATGTACATTTTGTCCCCTATTTTGTGCTTTCTCTCCAGGTCCCTTAAGGACAGGAAGAACACTTAGAGCAACCAATAACTCTATAAATGCGCATCTGATCATAAGTAGGCCTGCATTTTCCATCTATTGTAACATTATAATAAAAGAAAGACCTGTGTTGTTACTAGTCTGTTCTATGTAGTTAAGAAATCCTATGTTTTGTAATCATGGAACTGATTTTAAAGTGAGATAATCCACATGTAAGCCCTGCTTTAGATCTTGCAGTTCTGTCATAAATCCACAAGGTGTCGCTGCTTCCCACCTGTTGCTGTTTTGTGATTTTGACAGCTACCGTCCTCATTGCTCTCATATTAATAGACTTATTCTTGGCATTTAAAAGACACTGCAGTACACTTTAGGTAACATCATTTTATAGATTTGCATATCTAACTCACTGGCTCTTAGATAATGTTTGTTTAATTTGTCATGAGTGCTCTGCTGAATAAAATATCAAATTTATATGCATTGTTGCACCGTGCTGGTGGTAAATGCATGCATTTGGGGATTTCTAGAGTTCATTGTTGCAGATACGGACATCATTGCAAAGTAGTGGCGCGCCAGGTCTAAATAAGATAAGCAGCTCTCCTCTCCCCTCTTTTAAATGCAGATATTCACAACAGTAAGGAGTCATGTAATTACTTCGATCAGTGGCTGCACATAATTTATGAAACTATTTAATCAATTGTGTTAAAACAGAATAGGAGCCAGTTTGGGATTTCTCACTGTCCATTTTCTTTCCTCTCCTGGCTGTTAAGCAAACTGAGATTCAGAGGAACATTTTCACCATGTAACTGCAGGAGCAAAGCTGATACAGTACGTACTTCATCAAACAGCAGAAACACAAACATTTCTCACAAGGGTAGCAGTAATATGAGCTATACAGTATGTCAAACAAAAGAGGACTGGGTCAGAGTGAGAGTCATTTCTTTACTCCACACACCTCGCAGGCCAGAGAAGTAAAGCACTGACATTTGTGTTGTTCAAAGTGCTGTAATTAGAGGACGCTTTCATCTCGTCTTCAAAGCTATGGAGCAGGTGTGTTTCCCCTGAACAATCCCTGCTTTATCTTCCATCTTTGTGGTGAGTTTTCAGGTTCTCTGAACATCAGTTTTTATTTTTCCCTCTGCTTTTATATACAGTATAACATGTTTCATGAAAGGTATGAGCGGCTATTAACAATCATAATATAACTGGACACACAGTCAACTTTAAACACTGTTGCTAATTAAACGTACTGTATGTGCTGACTGTATGGCAAAAGACTGGCCTGCACAAGCTGCAATACCAGGCTTAAATACAGTAGCACGTTGATAGATTCTTCACTGGGAGAACTTGAGCTTAATTGAAACACGCATGCTCAAACATGCATACACAGACAGACGTCGTCCTCTGCACTCAGAGGAATCCCACCTCCAGCAGTTTGTCTTTTGTTTAGTTCTTTCAACTGGTTTTCAAGAGAGGTTTCCCTCAGTCAGATCAGCTAACCAGCATGACCTACTTAAACATAAAGGCACACCTAAAAGCTTTGGCTGTGAGGTTCTTGCTCTGGGGTTATGTCATCATCATGGAAGCGATCACAGATATGAGAATGATGGCACATCCCTTTTTATATATTTATTCTAATGTTTAAAGCTTGAAACATGCACATGTATTTCTTTCTCTGTCATCACTCTGTTTTTCTTTTTCTCTAACTCTCAGCCCAAATGAATGTAAAAAGTGACATAAAAAGGTTTTTAAAAAAATGGTTATACAGTATGCACTGAAAAATAACAGGTGACTTGATCTAAAAATGAAATGTAAGGTGCAACAGCATAGCCCCAGTTTGTGACTCTCATTTAATACATACCCCAACGTTAGCTCCGTGACTTAAAGCTGCAGATTCGGATAAATCAAGTAAATAAAATATCTAGAAGTGTTTTCTCCCTATTGTATTAGTGCATTTTCCATTTGTCAGACATATAATTCAGCAAAGCAGATCTGGCCCCCTGTCTGGTTACATATTGAGTTACTGATAAACTGAAGGCGGGGTAATCAGAGGGGCAGACTTCCAGATGGGACAATTAAAAATGATGTGGTAGTCCTCAGAAAACAGATCTATCTGCACTTCCTCTTTTTCACTCATTACACGCTGATGTAAACCATTTGAATGGTTGAATGGCATGTTAACATTTAGTGTTTAGCGTAAAATGTCTCAGCAGCTGTTGGATAGATTGCCATGAAATTTGGCACTCACATTCATCTCCCTCTTAGGATGAACGGTAATAACTTTGGTGATCTATTGGCTCTTCATATTGCTATCATCAGGTCATGTCTATTTGGCAGGTTCCCATCAGCCTCTGTACTTTGTGTGGTGTGTTAATTAGCAAATGTTAGCATGTTAGCACAGACCTGGTAAACATTAAACCTGCTAAACATCAGCATATTGGCAATGTCATTGTGAATGTGTTAACATGCTATTTAACTCAAAGCACTCCTGGGACTAAGCATAGCCTCACAGAGCCACTAATAACATGGCTGTAGACTCTTAGTCTTGTTTTCTTGAATATCTAAGGACATTGTAAGGTTATTAACTAATTAAATTACAGCTAACTCAGGCAGTTAAACTT